AGAAACAAACATCCATCCTCCATCCCTCGTCCCTCCATCTCAAGGTTTACAAGGTGTATCAGCTGACAGAGTAGCAGAACTTTCAGGACATCATTGCATGTCTGGAAGTCTCTTCAGGACCCGGTGCATGAATTCGTGAAACTGATCCGGGTACATCTGATGGGGTACGCGAGTACAAGATCCCACCAAACCCATGACATGGGGTACGGCATATTTACATACATTGGGGTGGTGCCAGGAGGGTCCGTGGGGCGGCAGGCCGTCCCAGACGGGTCGTAACGGCGCCAATGAGCAAACCGGTGGCCGAATGCGGCGCGCCAGGCGTCATGAAGTGGCACAACTGGAGGCTCTATTCTCTTCATACCATCAGCCCTATTGACCCTATTGCCTTCAGGATATAGAACTCTGGACCTCTCTGGACAGTTTCACTCCGTTGAAACTCCCAATGCTCCCCTTCAAAAAAGCACCCCAAACCTCCCCAAACATCACTTTCGACCCTTCTCCACCCCCATACAATTCCCTTGGTATCTCCATGCTGTCTAGGTGTCCGCACCGCGCACTCCACCATCACCTTGGTGGTGTCCTGCTGAATGATCCAAGGCGAGACACTCGCGTCGTCGTTTCGCGTGGGGAGAAAGTCGCGCCCTCAAAGAAGTCGCGCCGTGGAGAGAATTGGCTGGAAAAAAAGGCGTTCAGAGTCGAATCATCTACGAAATCATACGTATCTATCTATATATATCTATCTGTCTAAGATGTAGAGCAAACTGTAGAGCAATAATATATATATATACACATCCATACCTAGACCCGGCACAGGTGACAAAAAACTGCCCGCAGTTGAGAAGGCAATTTGTTCAGTAGGCATGAAACATTCGGCCCGTCGAAAATAAAATCATCCGCATCCAACATCCATCATGCAACCGGAGCAAAGTTCCTTGACAATTGCGGTTGTTAAAAAACGAGTTCCGCTAATTTCCGCCTTTTTTTCCGCCAATGTCCGCCCGTGCCGATTTCTACCCGTGACATTTTCAGACTATTTCTAAAACAACCACAACCATGACCCCGCCAAACCAACTGGCTCAGATGGAACAGTCAAAAAACCGATGTCGGCCGGACGTGTTCTCGTGGATTTCAGCCTAAAAAAGGATGCCTTTGAAGGAACCATCCCCACATTTGGCACCCACATCGAAGGGTGCTCCGGTACAAGAACTTCCGGCAAGCGAAACCATCGATGCGACTCCCTGAGGTGCAATCCGTGAAGATGAAGCTTCGAGGGTTTGAAGTTGCCAGCTTTCGATGCGGATCATTCTTCTTGACTATAGTAGCCAAAAACATCAACAAACAATATATAACTTTTTAGATAAGTTAAGCCCTTTGATTCTATGACCTGTGACTTTTGTGACATCTTCTTTGCTTTTCCCATGATGTTTTTTTTCTGCTTCTGCTTGGCACCCAACCTCACCTCACCAGTTCCCGTCCACCGCCGTTCCCGTCCAGTTCGCCGAACCCAGTGGCGTCGTCCTCGAGCCACTTCTTGTGGAAGCCTGGAACGATGGCCCTTCTTCGTGCCCTGCAGGAACGGGAAGACAACGATGGAAAACGGTCAGACCCGCTTTTGGGTTGGTGGATATTTGAGGATTCTTGGACCATGTCCCAAAAGTCACGGAGACGGAACCATGTGTCCTAACGTAAAAGGGATCATCCTCCGTCCACCCAAAAAACCTCTCTGTCCACCAGTAGTCTCTCTCCCAAACCCACCATCTTCCTCCTCTCAATTCTCAGCCACCTCTCAGCCACTCGAGTGGGCTCCGCATCGCTCGGTCCCACTCGGTCCCCCGGGCTTCCAGGTTTCCGGGTCCGCGGGGATCAGCCCGTGGCCTTGGAAGCCAAAAACGACGGATCACCCACTCCATGGGACTGCCACTCCAGGTGTGTGTACTTTGGGTATATCCTATTACACTCCCGAAAACTAACATAGACCCTGACGTCCTGGTCCCATGGAAGACTATTTTCCTCTACCAACCAGGGGTTTTCAGGTGCCATGTTAGTCTTCCAGGGTGTATATGGAATATGTATTAGACTCTTGATTAATAAACCACCCCTAAGAGGTTGTTCAATTCAAACGGATGGAGTCTACATTATACCAGGTTTCGGTGGATGATGATGGTTAGATAAAGGCCTTTCGAGTAGTGACCAGGTGTGTACTTGAAATCCAGGAGAACCCCCTATCGCTGGGTATATTCTGGTCACACACGTGGAGTGACAATGGTGAATGTAGGCCAAAAATCCAACTGCACACGGAGCAACTATACCAGAACCTTCCTCACTACCAGGGTCTGGTGGTTTTGGGAGTCCCTATCCTTATTCCTTAAGCCTCTATGTTCCCATCCGGAAGCATATTTAATTTATACGTTCCCATCGTCCCATCCCAACCACCTCCAGGGTGGACAGCTCCTCACGTACGCGCCCATTGCCGGCACCCGGGCCCATGATCGGTTCCAACACTTCGCTGAGAATGCCCTTCGTGTACAGCTCCTGGCGCTGGTGGCCAGCTGGAGCGCGGTGGCGAGCGACGGTGGCGAGCGACACGGACCGTCGCGGTTAAGGCGCTTGGTGATGGAGGGTGATGGCCGCGACTGAGAATCAAGGTCTATATTCACAAGGATAAACTACGATACAAGATGATACAAGTAAAAAGTAGGCGAAAGTTTGGCCATGTCTGTCTTTGCCAGCAATAGCTCCAAGTAGAACCGCCAGCACATCATAGCACATCAAAGAACTCCCGTCGACAAACTCCCTTGATGCCGTGCAGTGCCACGGGGGCCATGACAAATGATTACGAAGACGACACGCTCTTCATCTGCCCTGGATCTATCTATCGGGGCACCTCAGCCCCGCCACACGCACAACCCATCCGAAAGCAACCACCGTTTGAAACTGATCAA